ACACTGTATCTCTGTATTCTATCATCTCACATGGGTGCCTTTGGAGCATATAAGTTTGCAACGATCATGAAAGACGGCATCGAAGCGAGCATAACTCACATAACAGGGAGAACAAGAAATTTCGACTACGACTATGTTGACACTGTGGCTCTGAATGCTAGCATTTAAAATGCCTACAATTGTAGCAGATACGATCGCACTGACCATATGAGACGACTTCGCAGGACATATAATGAGAACAATAGACAAGTGGAGATAGTTCGGCAACATCAGTCTGCACACTGTCTCACTGTATTCTATCTTCTCACATGAATACCTTTGGGGCATTTCAGTTCGCAACGATCATTTAAGACATCGACATAACGCACACATTAGGCAGAAAAAGAAACTTCGACCCCGACTATGTTTACACTGTTCTATTTTGCTTCGATAGTATCCATGTGAGATGATAGAATAGATAGATACAGTGTGCACACCGATACAGTCGATGTATCGCGATGTACCTATTGTACTCGATATATATCCTCTAAAGTCGTCTCACATGGTCAGTGCGATCATTTCTGCTTCAAATGTATGCATGTCGAATGCAGGAAGGCAGAGTCACAGTTTGAACATAGTCGAAGTCGAAGTTTCTTATCCTACCTGTTATATTCATTAGAATTGCTCCAATGACGTCATATATAGTTCTTGTGATTCATTTTGTTTCAATAGTATCCATATGAGATGATAAAATAGATAGATAGTGTGCACACCGATGAAGTCGATGTACTCCGATATTCCTGTTGTACTCGTCAAATCAATAGAATGAAGAGATTTTGTACTTCGTGTAAAATTTATCATCAAATCGCAAAGCGCTCTCGTTGAGAAAGCCATTATCAGTGCTATACCTGTAAGTAAGTGATACTGATGGAAATTTCATAGACAAATCAAAAGTGTAGATTACTTACCCGTCAAGTATTCACGAAAATGTCTAAAAATTCGAGATCAAAGACATCATTATGGCACAAACGGAATTAGGAGCAGACATACATTTGGCAAGAAGGTTTCCTAATGACATTTTGTGGAATTTTCCATGAATACATTTCAAAAAATTCATTAGTTCAGCTCCTGTAAGAGCAAGAGAAACCTTGAGCTGTATAAGTCTGACGAATATGTGACATTTTTAATCATAATAATATTGTTGACAGAGAATGAGTGTCAATGTCAATAACTGAGTTCACATGAGTTCAGAGTAGACAAGTGACACTGAAATTCCAGGCCGAGGAGTAACAAGAAGCCGGATCCTGATTGCTTACTTTCAGGTCTTGAGTTCGGTGTTCGCTCTGAGTCTGGATGTGTTCTTGTAGTATGTTTGCCTCTTATAAGGTTTTCGAATACATATTTTTTCCTGGACTTTCAGCTTGAACACCAGGACTCTGAAGTCTTGATTGGAAATCTCTTTTCCCAATTTTCATCACAAAGGTTGTTACTCTTCGGCCTGGATTCTAGCATCTGCAATGCCTATTCATGAAGCATATATGACAGCTCATTATATGCGAGTGGAGTACTATACTCTTCCATATCCACCAAAAACTTCGATTCCAACAATCAAGAGTCGGTAAACCGGCGTGTTCGCCAAAACTTCGAATTTATCTTAATAATAAGTCGGTTATACATCTTATAGGTAGACATTGTCCAGTGTTTCCTGGATCAAAATAACGCATACAACAGGGAGAACAAGAAACTCCGACTTCGACTATGTTTACATTGTGGCTCAGAATTCGAGCATCTGACATGCTTTCAGTTGAAACAGATACGATCGCATTGACCATATAGGAAGACTTTGAAGGATATATAACGAGATTAATAGGCAAGTGAAGATACTTCGACTACATCAGTCTGCACATTGTATAACTGTATTCTTCCATCTCACATGGATACTTTCGAAGCATATTAGTTCGCAACGATCATATAAGACGATATCGAAGCGAGAATAACGCACACAACAGGTAGAACAAGAAACTTCGACTTCGACTATGTTCACAATTCAACTCTGCATTCCAGCATCTGACAAGCATACAGTTGAAGCAGATATGATCGCACTGACCGTATAATGACGACTTGGGAGGATATATACGAGTGCACGCTGTATCTCTCCATCCTATCATCTCACATGGATACTATTGGAGCAGAATAGATCGTGAAGACCATATGAGACTGTAACATGAAAATTGACTAATTTCCATATTACATGGTATATCTAGTTCAGAATCTCAGAATTAATAAAGAACATATCAACATAAAGACACCAGACCATAAAAATAGATTCTATTGTTTAAAGATAGTGAAATAGTGTCTTCACTATGATATGCTCACGTTGCTCACTCTGTATAATATATTTATTCATTCGAAAATACACAAATACAACTTTATATTTCATTCATTTCATGATACATCTATAGGCTTCTAGCAGTTATTAGTCTGAAACATTTGAGAATACCTGAAAACAAACAAAGATTAATAATGTGATAAATATAAACGAATTCGAATGAACTCACCTGAATATATGTGTCCAATTGGTTTGATAGGTCTTTTCTGTTATCTGTGAAGTGATTCGGAGTTCTTGGACAGTAAAATGTTGATCCGAAATGAACGAATTGATGAAGTAAATTCATGAAGTGGATAACATTCCAGGCCGAGGAGTAACAAGAAGCCGGATCCTGATTGCTTACTTTCAGGTCTTGAGTTCGGTCTTCGCTCTGAGTCTGGATGTGTTCTAGTAGTATGTTTGCCTCTGATAAGGTTTTCGAATACATATTTTTCCCTGGACTTTCAGCTTGAACACCAGGACTCTGAAGTCTTGATTGGAAATCTCTTTTCTCAATTTCCATCACAAAGGTTGTTACTCTTCGGCCTGGATTCTAGCATCTGCAATGCCTATTCATGATGCATATATGACATCTCATTATATGCGAGTGGAGTACTATACTCTTCCATATCCACCAAAAACTTCGATTCCAACAATCAAGAGTCGGTAAACCGGCGTGTTCGCCAAAACTTCGAATTTATCAATTTTAATAATAAGTCGGTTATACATCTTATAGGTAGACATTGTCCAGTGTTTCCTGGATCAGAATAATGCAAACAACAGGAAGAACAAGAAACTCCGACTTCGACTATGTTTACATTGTGGCTCAGAATTCGAGCATCTGACATGCTTTCAGTTGAAACAGATACGATCGCACTGACCATATAGGAAGACTTTGAAGGATATATAACGAGATTAATAGGCAAGTGAAGATACTTCGACTACATCAGTCTGCACATTGTATAACTGTATTCTTTTATCTCACATGGATACTTTCGAAGCATATTAGTTCGCAACGATCATATAAGACGACATCGAAGCGAGAATAACGCACACAACAGGTAGAACAAGAAACTCCTACTTCGACTATGTTCACAATTCAACTCTGCATTCCAGCATCTGACAAGCATACAGTTGAAGCAGATATGATCGCACTGACCGTATAATGACGACTTGGGAGGATATATACGAGTGCACGCTGTATCTCTCCATTCTATCATCTCACATGGATACTATTGGAGCAGAATAGATCGTGAAGATCATATGAGACTGTAACATGAAAATTGACCAATTTTTATATTACATGGTATATCTAGCTCAGAATCTCAAAAACATAAAGACACCAGACCATGAAAATAGATTCTAGTGTTCAAAGATAGTGAAATAGTGTCTTCACTATGATATGCTCACGTTGCTCACTCTGTATAATATATTTATTCATTCGAAAATACACAAATACTATTTCATATTTCGTTCATTTCATGATACATCTATAGGCTTCTAGCAGTTATTTGTCTGAAACATTTGAAAATACCTGAAAACAAACAAAGATTAATAATGTGATAAATATAAACGAATTCGAATGAACTCACCTGAATATATGTGTTCAATTGTTTTGATAGGTCCTTTCTGTTATCTGTAAAGTGATTTGAAGTTCCTGGACAGTGAAATGTTGATCTGAAATGAATGAATTGATGAAGTAAATTCATAAAGTGGAAGTGAAAATCCTGTAAAAATATTTCAGCTTGAAAACTCTCAAAGTAAACAAATGAATCCCCGAGTTACATTCAGATACGTACCTTGTTGATTCCTTGGCTGAAATTGAATGATTTTCAGAGGATTTTCGAATTTTCTTTATCATTCATGTGAGGTTATATTATGATTGTGATTTCGTCGCAGCTGACATAAGAGATAACGTAACCTGATTTATTCTTCTGCTTTCTTGTTCTTCTCGTTCGCCTCGGGACATAACCCTAATTTGAAGTTGAGATTGCAATGGGAGATTTTGCATCTTTGTTCATCGTTCCTGACCGTGAAGAATGGAAAATTGCCCTTGTTGCCGCCATGGGATAACAGGTGTTAGAACTGTCGTTGTGTGTTCGATTTCCCGCTCATATTGTGAATGGCAGGGAATCAACTTTCATTAGTTTTCATCAGGAGTAGTGGTATGATTGATGTTGGTACCAAATTGAACCAATCAGGTGTTGACTTAACGTCACGTGGTAGTCATGTGCGTTGAGAACATTGTTTTTCTGATGTGCAGTTTAGCAAATTGTCGTTCCCAGTTTTTTCAACATAATTTCAAAAATTCTTATGCGCATCGTTTCTTTGCTCTTTTCAGGCAACATCATTCTCATCAAGATGCTGAAAGCAGTAAGGTGGAAGATGATTCATTTTTCTTTCGGTAAGGAGGCCGAGCAGTGCAGACGTTCAAGACAGGCCATCCAGTTTGAAGGTGAGTTTGATTTTTCTAGGGCGCTATAGCCATTCTTGTGAATCACTAGGTAGTAAACCCCGAATCTATTGTTATAGATTTGTGGGCCTGTCAATCGCGGAGGCCTTCTTTCCAGACCACGCCGGTTGGGACTTTTCCAACATCCAACTTTTGATGTAAGGCTATGGTACGACGATTTTTGCTGCACCTTTTGATCAGTGCGGATGGGGAGTTCGTCAATCGCTGGCTTGCTGACTTGGCTGCTCTTCTGGAAGTTGCGTTTTATGTCCTGGGTCATCTCATGCCAACTTTGAGGAACTCTGTTGTCCAACAAATATTACCGGCTTGTCATACACCAAGTACTTGGTTCGAGAGTACTATCTACCAGTGGCGCAGTCCTAGGACTCCAGGAACTTTAATGGCAGAGTGGGCCCCAGCAGCTCATGATCATCCTCCTTCCAGAGATTTAGTCACCCCTTCAGCACCAGTTTGGTTGCCACCAACATCAGGTACCTCTGTATCCAAACCGAACCATGACCACCAAGAGATAATTCATTTTTCGAAGTTATTTACTCTTGAATTTTCCTCATTCACCTAACATCACGTCTTTCATGAAATCTTCATTTACATATATTATATTATTACTCAATATTATCAGCAATACTTGCTCTGGAAGCTAGGAAGTTGTGTATTCTCCAATATAGGCCTATTGCGGAAGTAGATGAATTTGAATTGATTATCACATGTTGTAAACATAATATATTCCAAGGAAGATTTCTAGAACAATTGGATTATTTACATTTGACATTGACATTTCATATTTCATAATCATCAACAAAAAAATGTGATTGAGCTCAATTTTTTATCATCTAGTTGAATAAACACCACATGAGACCACAAGCAGTGTTTTTATTCAATAATTTATATTTCAGGTACAAGAGAGTAAGTTAATGTTAAGTTAAAATTGCTGATTTTGACACCTGGTACAGATTTTTTGAGTTTCCATCTTTACTGAACTTAGTGGCGCTCAACAGGCCACCTAACAAAATCCGAACACCAGTCATTTGTTCACCAGACACAAGAGCTGCCAGAGCCAATTGTGAAACTTGCTTTTATGATTTTAATTTTCGCAAATAAAATAAAAAACAGTTAAGTTCGTATCAAGACGGCATCGAAGCGGGCATAACGCACACAACAAGGAGAAAAAGAAACTTTATGTTATGTTTATACTGTTGATCTGAATTCTAGCATCTGACATGCCTACAGTTGAAGCCAATACGATCGCACTGACCGTATGAAAAAACTTGAGAGGATATATACAAGTGCACACTATATCCCTCTATTTCATCATCTCACATGGATACTATCGAAGCAGAATAAATCGTGGAGACCATATAAGAGCGTAACGCACAAAACAGGGAAAACAAGAAACTTCGACTTCGACTATGTTTACACTGTGGCTCTGAATTTTAGCATCTGACATGCCTACAGTTGAAGCAGATACGATCGCACTGATTATATTGCACGACTTCGAAAGACATATGAAGAGAAAAATAGGTAAGTGAAGATACTCCGACAACATCAGACTGCACACTGTATCTCTGTATTCTATCATCTCACATGAATACTTTCGAAGCATATTAGTTCGCAACGATCATATGAGACGACATCGTAGCGGGTGACACAACAGGCAGAACAAGAAACTTTGACTTCGACTATGTTCACACTCTAACTTTACATTCTGAAATCTGATATGCCTACAGCTACAGTAGATACGATCGCACTGACCATATAAGATGACTTCGAAGGACATATAACGAGAACAATAGGCAAGTAAAGATACTTCGACAACATCAGTCTGCACATCGTATCTCTGTATTCTATCATCTCACATGGATACCTCTGGAGCACATAAGTTCGCAACGATCATATGAGACGACATCGAAGCGGGTTTAATGCCCACAACGGGCAGAACAAGAAACTTCAACTGTGACTATGTTTACACTGTAACTTCGCATTCTAGCATCTGACATGCCTACAGCTATGACAAATACGATCGCACTGACCATATCAGACGACTTCGAAGGACATATAACGAGAACAATGAGCAAGTGGAGATACTTCGACAACATCAGTCTGCACACTTTATCTCGAAGCATACTAGTTCGCAACGATCATATAAGACGACATCATAGCGGGTATAACGCACACAACAGGCAGAACAAGAAACTTCGACTTCGACTATGTTTACACTATACCTTCACATTCTAGAATCTGAAGATTATGCCTTCGGCTATAGTGGATACGATCGCACTGATCATATAAGATGACATCGATGGACATATAACGAGAACAATAGGCAAGTGAACATCGACAACATCAGTCTGCACATCGAATCTCTGTATTCTATCATCTCACATGGATACCTCTAGAGCATATTAGTTCGCAACGTTCATATGAGACGACATCGAAGCGGGTATAACGCCCACAACAGGCAGAACAAGAAACTTCGACTGTGACTATGTTTACACTGTAACTTCGCATTCTAGCATCTGACATGCCTACAGCTATGGCAGATACGATCGCACTGGCCATATAGGACGACTTCGAAGGACATATAACGAGATCAATAGGCAAGTGGAGATACTTCGACAACATCAGTCTGCACACTGTTTCCTTCTAGTTTATCATCTAACATAGATACTATTGAAGCAGAATAGATCGTGAAGATCATATAGGACGGCATCGACTATGTGTACACTGTAACTTTGTATTCTAGCATCTGACATGCCTACAGTTATAGCAGATACGACGACTTTGAAGGACATATAACGAGAACAATTGGCAAGTGGAGATACTTCGACAACATCAGTCTGCACACTGTTTGTCTGTATTCTCTCATCTCACATGGATACTTTCGAAGCATATTAGTTCGCAACGATCATATAAGACGGCCTCGAAGCGGGCATAACTCACATAACAGGGAGAACAAGAAATTCCGACTTCGACTATGTTTACACTGTGGCTCTGAATTCTAGCATTTCACATGCCTACGATTGGAGCAGATACGATCGCACTGACCATATAAGACGACTTCGCAGGACATATAATGAGAACAATAGGCAAGTAAAGATAGTTCGACAACATCAGTCTGCATACTGTCTCTCTGTATTCTATCTTCTCACATGAATACCTTTGGAGCATTTTAGTTCGCAACGATCATTTGAGACATCAAAATGGGTCGAAATACTACTTGTAGATTCTGATATTGATGATTTTTATCAACTAGTGGATTCTTCAAATAATCCGGTGAAAATTGAATTCACATCTGATACTAAGAAACGAATTGTTTTGAAAAACTGCCGAAAATTAATATGAACATCTTTGATCATGAAACAAGATAAAACTAGACAACAATGAGTAGAAAGCAAAATTTTGAGAAAATATCTCCTGAGAGCAAAAGAAACCCCATCGAACAACTGTCACATTAGAGGAAATAGACTGATTGTAAACAATACAACATATTCATATCAGCAATTGAAGGAAATTAGCCAAACGCATTGCCAAATATCTGAAACAGAGGAAGAGGGAGCTACAGCACAAGTACCACCAAAAGAAGACGAAATACAACGCAGAGAAGAAATTCTCGAAGATACCCACCAAGGGACACCTAAATCGGGAACGATCAGAAAAGTTATACTGGAGCCTGTAGCAAAAGAAATGCTGAGAACTCGTTTCCAAGCTAAGTGTATCAGAAAACTTCATTTTCGAGCACTCAACTTACTCCATCAGCAGTTGTTTTTATCATTTTCTTCTCAGTTATGTAAAACAATATTTTTTCTATTTTCCGTATTCAAATACCAAATACTGAACCATTTTTAATAATAATAATAATAATAATAATAGTTTTTATTGACAGTCTTCAAAATTAACTGAATAAACAAACATAGATATTTATATAAACAGACTGGTCAAAAGGCAGAGTTCAGTCTAGTTAGAAGTCACACGAAGCGACATCTAAAAAGCCTGCTCTTCCACTCAACTTCCTTTCATTCATTATTATATATAGTTCTGATCAAATTGTGGTAGACATGGACCAATATATTCGAGATCATAACTATGAACCCATTGAAACAATTGACTTACATGAATCGAATGCACTCAATAAGTATATATGCGATGATACTGTTCTCAAAGAAACCTTCAGAAATATATTCTCGCCGTTCTCGCCGTTCACGCGTGTTTATGTTGTGAGAAAATAAGATTTAAAAATTTGGTGGAAATGTGAAATATATGGACAAAAAAAAATAAGCAAAGTGAATAACCGAACATCGTATCTCCACTTAGTGATAATAAATCATAGAGAAAATACTGAAATAGTGGTGATGATGTTGTAACAACCATTATATCTGGCTAATCATTGCTATTTATCGCGCAACTTCAGACCAATGGACTCCAAAAAGTGTATATCGTTTGCAGACAACCTATTTCTAACTCGTGTGGGTAGTTCTGTTCGAATGAATACATCTCCATTCTTCCTTCCCTTCTTATCGATATTTCTACGGTAGGTGGCGGCAGTTTTATTTGTGAACACATGTTTTGATTGGTTCCCAAAACAATACCCCATTTTCTGCCTGGAATGCTGGATTGTTACGTAAGCTGCTTCAATTCCAATTTTATAATGATTTTTTCTCCTCGAAAATCGACTAAAAGTCCGCTATCATCCAATATCCTCAGTGTAATGTTGTCGATGAACTGGCCCCCAGTCGGACTGATGAGTAAATATATAATATTCTGCGGTTTCTTCGATAACTTATATCCAGGCTCCACATCGATGTCGAATTCATATAGTGTATGTACCTCCTCCCCATTGAGGAATGCTCCTGTGGTGATGTTACAATCAACCTTCATGAGGCGCATCTTCATTATATTCACAGGTAGTGTGGATTCATGCAACTCGTTGGCTAGATTTTTCTCCTTTTCGAACCCCAAAACACCTGCTATAGATGCGTCGGATGCCAAATCCATCTCATACATGCAACTCATTTCACATTTCATAGTATCATTATTGGCACGGAGAAAGAATACAGCATCCATATTTTTCCCATTCAACGATATCCTACGTGCTACAGCCATTTGTGATGCTTTATTTATCTCATCTATTTCATGAGTACCCGGTGGTATCGTAATCATTTCACGGGTGAAAGTAGGTCCCATCTTGATATCCAATCGATTATTCTGCTCATCTATATTGAGTATGGAGTTGTATGAGTAGAAACCGTGCAACCCTAATCCATAGGTTTTCCTTGCATCGAGTTCAATGGGTGGATAAAAGTTAGCGCTCAATACACTACTATCCCCAGATATGGTGAAGGTTTGCGACATGGTTGATCGCAAAGAAAAAAAGACTACGAAAACTGTGGCAAACTTCAATTTATGCAGCTGCAACAATGACAACCTTATTGTGGCTTGCAACGATGAAGAATGTCGTAGTTTCCGCAAAGTTAATTATTAATATCAAATTTATTTTCAGCTACAACATTTACATCTTTAATTTGGCAAAAACAGCAGAATAATCTTCTCGGCACTGGTCCATCATAAGCATCAACGCTGTGTTGGCTGTCCTCCTCCGTGTAGTGTTCCTTACAAAATTGATATTTTGATATAACTGGATCGTTCTGTCATTGTTCAGGTAACTTTTCCCACACTAGAGCTATTTCATGTGATGCGCAGCTGATGATGACTTCCTTCGGCATGTCGGCGAGTTGCGCTCTACTCATTTTCAGCAAAGAGCGCACTCTTGAGTGAGCCAGTAATGAGTGACCCATTCGTTTGATGCTCTCTTTATCTATATTATAGTATCTTTGTCTAATTATTTGTGGAGAGAAACTTCAGACACAAATGACCACACCACACTGTATTATAATCTTGATGTCGTTCGTAGTTATATACGATTTCCATAGCATTTGACGGTTTCGATCTCCTCTTCAGATACTCTATTAACTCCCTTGGGGGTGGTAAATCTCCATAGCTATCATGATATTCCACTACTCTATTACGTTTCTTATATGCAACCCAATGTGTGCCACTGCCTTTGCTGCTATCTAAATTCAGAATAGCTGATTCTATACGTTTTGGCCCGGAATTGGGTAGGTTATCTCTCATGAATATACCTCGGAAGTGTGGTACTTTCATTCTATCTATTTGATTTAATAGATCAATGTCTGTTAAAGCCCTCCGGGGTAAATCATGTAGTTTTTTGAGTTATGGGGTTCTAGATAGATACCTAATCCCTTTC